CTTAACCACTGATTTCTAATCGTGTCCTCTTTTGGAAGACCAAACAAAGTAGTTTCGCTTTCACAACGAAACACACGTTGGGCTAGAGTGAGCGGTGGCGGGCGGGCGGGCTAGAGAACGGCACGGCCGGCACATTCAACGAAGGAATTAGCTTGCGGCAACCACATGTGATGACCCCGGGCTGGACTCCGCTTCGTCCGCGGTGAAGGCCGATCCGGCGATCCACAGCGCGAAGTTGATGTATTCCCTCAGCGACCAGCACGAATCAGCTATAGGCATGACGAAGCGGATAAGGAAAAATTGAAATCGCATCATATGACCCCTTTAAAAACACTCTTAAAAATAAAGATTCCAAAATGGGGTTTTAACACCAATGCCATTGAAGAACCATTTTGGGTTTCCCAAATATCCTTTCAGTGAACAATTCTTAAAAGAAGCATTTTTGAAGAACATAATATTCTGAAGAAGCTTTTCTACTCTAAAGAAGCTTTTGTGCAATTGAAAGGTTCCAGGGCTATTAAATGTTCTTCTAGGAGCCATAGATGCCAATAAAGAAGCTTTATTTTTAAGTGTAGCAAGATAGAAATGTGTCACAAAACACTCACAGTATTGTTAAAAAATAAATAAATTGTATAGAGATATTGTATTTGCAACATTTACTCAAAATTACTTAAAACAACAAAGTTGACCTCATCAGAAACTCTAATAAAACAGGGCTAAATGACACCTACACAACACATCTATTTTAGAACTCGAAACGACCATAAATTTCACACACACAAACTCTGACTCAATTCCACATTAAGCAGCAGTGATCCTCTGTTATGTTTGCTCCTGTCAAAGTCTTCCTACATTTTATCTGTCCTTTTCCCCCTTCTACCTTTCTCAAATGCATTCACCAGATTCCTCACCAAGGCAACAAGCCCACCTAGACGGCACCTAGCAGTCTAGTCTGAGACACACATGTACACTGTTATGGGATTTCCAAAAAAGCATGCAATACTCTGACATCTCTATCTAAAATGAGAGAGAGAGATCACTTGTAGACTATGTGCATAACTCATGTGGACAACTTCTATTTGTCACTTTGCAGCTTTTCAGCCCCAGTTCTCTTTCTTCATTATATTAAATTAACTGGCAAGGACATTTCTCTGAATATTTAAAAACAAAAATGTTACACTTTATTTTAAGGTGTCGTTGTTACAGTGTAATTATACATTTATTACGTATTATTAATTAATTACATGTACTTACTATATGGTTAGGATTAGGGTTTGGTTTAGGGTTACTTGCATGTATTTATGCATAATTAATTGCTATTATATAGTAGTAAGTACATGTAACGTGTAACAGTTACATGTAACGTGTAGGACACCTTAAAATAAAGTGTTACAAAAAAACTTGGGGTTTTTTTTCTTCTTTTTTTTTGAAGAAGAAGGTTATTCTAGTTTGGAACAACATGAGGTTAGTAAATAATGGCAATGTAAATAAAAAATCTCACTTCACCATTAACCACCAGGGGTCCAGTTCATCCTCGGCCGAGAAAGCATGATATGGGCCACTCATGAAGACATCTAATTAGCCTAGAAACAATGCAGTTGTAGCCCTTAAAGGGGTCATATGATGCGATTTTAATTTTTCCTTTCTCTTTGGAGTGTTACAAGCTCTTGGTGCATAAAGAAGATCTGTAAAGTTGCAAAGACTAAAGTCTCAAATCCAAAGAGATATTCTTTATAAAAGTTAAGAGTCAACCACGCCTACCTAAAATGGCTCATTCTAACACGCCCCCACATATCTACGTCACGATGTGGGAAGATTTGCATAACGCCGCCCAAATGTTCACGCAAAGAAAGAAGGCGTAACTTTTATTCTCGCTGTAGTAATTGTTGCTGCCGCCATGTCGTGAAGATGCTGTGTTTCGTTGTAAAAGCGAAACTACTTTGTTTGGCCTTCCAAAAGAGGATGATATCCGCTTCGTCATGCCTAGAGCTGATCCGTGCTGGTCGCTGAGGAAATACATCAACTTCACGCTGTGGATCGCCAGATCGGCTTTCACCGTGGACGAAGCAGAGTCCAGCCCGGGGTCGTCACATGTGAAGCGGAGTCCAGCCTGGGGTCATCACATGTGGTTGCCGCAAGCTCGCCGGCCGCACCGTTCTCAAGCCCGCTCACTCTAGCCTCCGGCCTCCGCTCACTCTAGCCGCAGACCGCCGCTCACTCAAGCCCGCCGTGTGTGACGCTGTGTTTTTCTTTGTGAAACTACTTTGTTTGGTCTTCCAAAAGAGGACACAACTAGAAATCAGTGGTTAAGTTGTATTTACAACACTT